AACTGCTGCGCGTTTCTGGATTGCTCCTTGCTTCTCCTGCGCGCCACCTTTTGCTCGCTCTACAAGAGGAAATAGAAAAGTTATAGAATTATGCAATTATAAACGTATAATCCAAATTGTAAAAGTTGTTATATGAAAATTTAATATTATTAGGAATGGGTTTTATACACAGTGTGTTTTTTTAATTATATATCTATGTCAATGTCAAATATTTTAGGCTATGGGTCGTATTCTGGTAGGTTTGTGTCAAGTGGGTGCTTGGGGTTGTTTCGATGAATTCAATCGTCTGGAAGAACGAATGCTTTCTGCAGTCAGCCAGCAAATACAAACAATCCAGGAAGCTGTTCGAGCGGGTGGCGAAATGAAGGTATTTTCTCGAAATGAGCGTATGAAGAACTTTCACATTTCTTGAAAAAAAAATTTTTTTTTGACGTTATGCTGCATTGCTTAAATTCAGGTTGATCTGGTGGGGAAAACGCTGTCGGTGAATTCGAATATGGCAATATTTATTACGATGAATCCAGGCTACTCTGGACGCTCTAACTTACCAGATAATTTGAAACAAGTAAGTTGAGTTACCATATAAGTTATGGTATATGCGTCAATGACTTAATGGACCGAAACGTCTTAACTCTTTCGTACTTATTTTTTCTACAGACCAGCTATATTTCTACATCCATCAATACATAGTTCGTTCTATTCGTGCCTTATTTAAATTCTTAATATTACTTGTATGTTACAATCAGCTTACAATTTGTGTTTTTTATTCGGCTTGACATTTCGCTGGATTATATTTAGGGCTCGTTAAAAGTCAGGTGCTTGATTTAATTAGGTGCCATTTGATTTTCATATGCTCGCCATATTGTTTGTTTTTAATACTTCTGCGCTGCAGCAGTTGTCACACTGACGAGGTCCAGTTGTAGCACTGAATGGGAATGTATGCGACTTAATGGACCAAAACATTTCAATTCAGTTTTTATTTTTAATTGTTTTTTGTTACAACCTCTTTCATAACCATAAAATATTCAAAATGCATTTACTTACTTGTTGGCTACCTTTTTTTAAAAAGTAGCTGCGTTAGAAAAGTTGTTCTCCCTCATTGTAGGACGGCTGTCATTCTTTTTTGCGTCATTTTTTTGGTCTTTTTTTTCATCTTTCAAAACAAAAATGCTGAATGCTTTGTATCCTATTTGTTGAATTTGTCCTCCTAGAACTTAACTGAGCAGACCTGTTCTTTATTTTTGTAGAAGGTTCCTATATGTAGATCTTATAGTTTTCAAAAGCTACTGAATACGGGTGAATAAGAAGAGTTTCTCATTTAACCCCTTGAAATAGAAGATTAGAAAGATTTGACTTGAATGTCATATGTATGAAGACATTTTATGATGCAATCTCTGCGTTTCATCCCTTAGCAGTATACACAAAACCGAACGATGCATGCGGGTGGGAAGGGGAATCACCAGTTCAGCCTCCTACCCACCATGTTTTGAATAGTCATGTAACTAACTTGCAAGACGGATGAGCAAAGGAAAGAGATATAAGTGAAGGGGCAAGTAAAGTGAGAGAGGAAGGAAAGAAAAAATTGGGAGTTCCCATGTATAAATGTACATTTACAGCTTTTCCGTTCGCTGGCAATGACGCAACCCGATCGCCAGCTTATCGCTCAAGTGATGCTTTTTTCGCAAGGTTTCAGAACGGCCGAGAAACTTGCCAGTAAAATTGTACCTCTCTTCATGTAAGTCACATTTTTATTGCCAGCTGTTTTAAACGGCCTTTTACTGAATATGGCAGTGGACACTGAGCAAAGCGTTAACGTCTGGTCAAGTCAAAGGCCGCTTGAAAGACCATTTTTCCCTTTTTATGCGTTTTTGCTGTGCAGCGCTATAGCGCTGTTACAGTGAACAGACATCCTGTTGAGAAGTTGTCCGTGTTCGTATGTGTGTGTGTGTGTTTGTGTGTTCGGAAGCGAGTGAACTTTGTCACCCACTTTCAACTCAGCAACTAGGGAAGCTGGAAAACTGAAATTTTGAAGACGCTTTTTTGCGTGATCTGATACAAGATGGTTGCAGCCTGTGCAAGGAGCAACTATCCGACCAGTGCCATTATGATTTTGGCCTTCGAGCGCTGAAGTATGTGTTGGTGAGCGCCGGCAACATCAAACGCGATGAAATTCAGCGTATAATCGAAAGTCGTCGGGATGATGTAAGTGGCATAATTCGGTTCAACAGTAGTCTCTCTTGTAGATCATAATGAAGAGGTATGGCTAGTTAGCTGTATCACATGGTCTGCTGCATCTTGCCGATCGTTTATCTGTACAAATGCGAATTGTCATTTTAGCCTTCCGAAATAACAGGCACTGTTGTAGATGCCGCCTTTTTAGTCCGATTTTTCTACTTTTTTCAATTTTTTTTTGTTTTTTTTTAGGTGAACGAGGATGATTTTTCAAGCGAATTGTCCGAGCAGCAAATTTTGATCCAGTCAGTCTGCGAAACTTTGGTGCCGAAACTCATATCGGAAGATATTGCGCTACTGTTTTCTCTTCTTTCTGATGTATTTCCATCAATCCAGTACAAACCGAACCAAATGGCGGGGTAAGTAAGTCAGAAAGTTGTAAAATAATATCGTAAACATTGAGGGAAAGCTTTAGAAAGCGGTAGTAAATCGATACAAAAGGCAGTACGGGCCTAAAAGGCCCTGTGAAGAAAAGAAGAAGAAGGGGCCGGAACAGCGGCCCAATAGCGAAGGGTATTTGAGGAACCGCACAAATCGTGCATGCAATAGGAAGATGCATGGGTGGGGCGGTAATCGCCCAAGGTCTGTGGTGGTAATGAAAGAACGAAATAAAGGGGTCAGATTGTTGTGACGAATATTTTTTTAAAAAAATCAGGGTGGAATTTAAAAGAAGTCATGTGAAGAACAGTATATTAATAAGCCTGCCTGTGTTTCATCCCTAACATTAGCATTACTGCTGGCAAAATGCCGTGACATAATAAATGAAGTAAAATGGGGTTTGGAAGTATGTGGCAAAGGCGTGTCATGTGCCTGCAGGTGTAGCGTAGTTGAGCGAACGCCGTAAGAGAAAAGAGAGGAATAGAATAGTCGTATATGTACATTTAATATTCCGAAAAGGAGCCAAATTTTGGAGCATATTTAGTAGAAGCTTCTTATTGGTATTTGAATATGAATTAAAATAGTGAGTAATAGAATATGTTTGTGAATGATAAATTTCTCATGAAATCTTTGTTAAGCAAATATAGGTCTGTTGTTTGCAAAAATCATAAAAATTAATAAGTTTTGGAATCGTGGTTGATTCTTTTTTTTTGACCGGCTCTAAATCATCCTTGCTATAAAAATCGTTAAAAAGTCGCAGTTAATGCAAGCTGTAGTTATGGTCGCGAAATACGATTTGCTTTTGTCGATTGCTTCTTTCCGGTCCATTTTTATCTTGAAAGCGTTTAAAAAAAATCAACATAGAACTTGCCGTGCAATTTGTAGCTATAGATCTGTGTTTTGTGGGGTTTTTTTTTTTTAATTGTTAAATTTAGCTGTTTCCTAACCGCAAATTATATACTGCAAAGACAGGCTGCGCTGAATGGGCTGTTGTTCCTGGCCTTGGTTACTACCCTCTTCCATTCCCTCACAAGGCATTTGAGGCCCGTACTGCCTTTTACTTACTTGCTTATTTGGGAGATCTGAATGGCACTACTTTCATTTATTAATTATCAAAATTTGTGTTTTCATTAATTATCAAAATTCGATTGTATTCCTCTCCACGTTGCTGGGCCAGAAACGCCAAACAAACTGCATATGTTAACACATAGACGATTTCAGGCTCCCGTCCTCTTCCAATCTCCTAGCCAGGGATATTCATTGTTTGTATCTTTAAAATTTCTGAAACACTTAAAATTACAGACTTCGAGCAGAAATTGCAAAAGTATGCGATGAATTACTTTTGTGCCAGTCCTCAACACCCGGTGAGCTCGGCTCGGCTTGGTTGGAGAAAGTCTTGCAGCTCTATCAGATCACAAATCTCAATCATGGCCTAATGCTTGTTGGTGCAAGCGGTAGTGGCAAAACAACTGCTTGGAAGGTGCTACTGAAAGCTCTGGAGCGGCTTGAAGGAGTGGAAGGTGTTGCGCATGTCATCGATGCGAAGGTCTGTTTTTTTTTTGTAATTTTTGCTTTTAAACCATCAAAAATGTTTATTCAAGGGTTATTTCTGTATGTTTTTAACGGTCATGAAATTTTGACGCAGTGAAAATGGATTTTTTTAATTCAGGAATTATATCTTTATGTGTTTATTTGAGTGAAATTTTATAAAATTTTGATTCTGTGAAAATGGTTTTTTTTTTGGGAAATTTATTTTTTTCAGGCGATGAGTAAGGATTCGTTGTACGGTGTACTGGATCCGAATACACGTGAATGGACTGATGGTCTTTTCACACACATTATTCGTAAGATAATTGATAATGTTCGCGGCGAAACGGCCAAACGTCAATGGGTGATTTTCGATGGTGATGTTGATCCGGAATGGGTGGAAAATTTGAATTCTGTCCTCGACGATAACAAGCTACTTACGTTACCGAACGGTGAACGTCTTGGAATACCTCCAAATGTTAGTTGCACCCGTTTATTCCTGTGGTTTTGGGGATTTTTTTTTTCATAAAATCTTCGATTTTGGCATTTTTATAACAACTTTGTTTAGGTCCGTATCATCTTCGAGGTAGCC